TTTCTTCTGTAATTGCAGAATACTATCCAGTAAGCAAGAGAAAACAGCCACATACTTTAAACCACAGGAATTCTTACTGAAATGGATGAAAGAATAATTAATAAGCAACATGTTAAATTTTGTTTCTAATGTATCGATACACATACATAGCACAGCTTCTTCACTTCAGTTTCTCTCCTTGATTCTCAGTATACCTTAAAAAAAAAAAAAAAATCATTCCCCAAAATATAAATAAAAGAGAGCAAATGCTAACTCTAGTTTCATTCTTAATTATTCCTTATCTCTTTGACTAAAGACTCACTTTAAGTGCTCTTTCTTGCTGCAGTAAGACACTATATGACAAATTGACAACATTATAGGGACCAAAGCTAAAGGTAAAAGGTTTTTTTTTACATTTTAGCAGGCACAAAGAACACAGGTTAAATGATTGTCCAGTTGTGCCCCAGATGCTGAACTTGCACTTCTCCCATTTTTCACTTCTATACATTTTTCACTGCTGAATGCACAAACGTACTGGCACTTAGCATCAAAACAGACTGAAGTAATACAAGGACAAATACAAAGTCATTCTTTACTGACAGTCAGCAAACACCTGCCTGATTTATCCCAGTCTCTTAAAAATAACAAGCTTGCCTTAAGCCACTTTCAGAAAGTATCTTACACACAAAATAAATACTCCAGCAGTGATTTAAGCTAACCTGCTTGACTTTCAGGACTGCTAATCTATCTACTATATGCAGGTAGCATCACACAGCTGAAAAGCAACACTGTCCCAAATAACTTCTTAGCTTTGACTGACCAGATGAGACCTTCAGATTTCACGATGAAGCAGACTTGAGAGTCATTATTTTGTATATGTTCAGTCTGGAAAAAGAACTCATTGAAAGTTATGGTGAAAGCTCTGCAGAGAAGGATTTGGATGTCCTTGTGAATTAAAAGGTGGACGTGAGCCAGCAGTGTGCTCTTGCAGCCCAGAAGGCCAACAGTATCCTGGGCTGCATCAAAAGAACAGTGGCCACCATGGAGAGGGAGGTGATTGTTCCCCTCTTCTCTACACTTATGAGGTCCCACCTGGAGTACTGTGTACAGGTCTGGGACTCACAGCCCAAGAAAGATATCCAGAGCTGTTGGAGAGGGTCCAGAGGAAGGCTGCAAAGATGATCAGAGGGCTGAAGCATCTCTCCTATGAAGAAAGGATGAGGGAGCTAGGCTTGTTCAGCCTGAAGAAGGTTCTGGGGAGACCTCATTATGGCATTCAAGTATTTGAAGAGAGCTTGTAAGGAGGGGACTGACTTTTTACACTGTCTGATTGCAACAGGACAAGGGGAAAAGTAGAAGAGAGAAGAGTTTAGCCAGATGTTAGGAGACAATTCTGTGCTCAGAGAGAGTGGCGAGGCCCTGGCACAGGTTGCCCAGAGAAGGTGTGGATGCCCCATCCCTGGAGGTGTTCCAGGCCAGGTTGGATTGTGCCCTGGGCAGTTTGATCTTGTGGTTGGCAGTCCTGCCCATGGCAGGGTGCTTGGGACTACGTTACCTTCCAACCCAAGTCATTCTACAGTTACTTTCAGCACCTACCAAAATCTCTTTCTTGACTACATAACGTAATGTTCAAATTCCAGCATACAGTCAGAGTGCCTGACATGGGCAGGGGGAGTCATCTACCACTACGTTAACTTGAGAGTGACCCGACCACACAAACAGCTTCTGCATCACTGAGCTGCTGTTGCTGACGGGCAGCATATATAAGGATGGCTTAACAGCAGCTATTGAATAACTGAACGACAAACTACAACAACCAAGTGCAACTGCTTAGCAGAATATCATCAGTTACTAACAGAAGATATTTAAAGGTTATGGAAAAAAAAGTACATCAGTGTTCTAGAATCTGGAATACGTTAAGCGCACTGAAGCTTACTACATTTCAATCTTGACACCACAGAAAAACTCATCTGGCTTTAACCTCAGAGACTATTTTGAACTGTCTTAGAGACCTGGGAAGGAAAGATTTTTTGTCTTTTACACTTAGCTTTTAAAGTAAGAACTAAGGATTTCATAGACATCTAAGTGAAGCACGTTTATTCAAATTGACACAACTTCTTGAGATGTCTTTCATAAAACAATTCCTTTTTTCATCTCCTCCCAAACTTCTACCTTATCAAGACAGACATCCACTCTGGATTATTTAAACTTGGAAAAATGCAAGTGTTTTCTTTGAAAAAAATATCCATTGTTACAGCAAAAACCTGGGTTTCCTTTCAAGCAAGATCATATGATTATGCATTTATATTTTACTTTCCGCAGGAATTTACACACCCCCCTTTGCATCCTGTTATTCATTTAGCGTTTCCCCTCACTTCAGCATGCTATGTTAATAACGGAGACCTGCTGGCTCAGAACGGGCACTCAAGGTGACAATCGACGCTCACTCATGCACTCATCAGTTATTCTACAGGGCTCTCCTCACTTATTTTTTAAGCAGCACAAAATAATCCTTCAAAAATCAGTTCTGTGAGAAGCACTGGACAGGTAGATCATTAAAACAATTATCTTAGGGAAGTGGATGGATTTGTTATTGTTGTTCTTAATTACATACTTTAAAATACTTCTTTCTCTTCTGGAAGGTCAATTTTAACTGAAATAGATTTTGTGCTACTTAAGTACTCTAAAATAGGAAAAAAAGATTTTCCTCCTATTCGCAATAGTGAATTAGTCATTGTTTCAGATTGCTTCCTGATGTTTATCTTTAATCAATGTTAGCCTTTAAACGCTTTCAGATTGATACTGATTAATGATCTAATTTGTAATCTTATCTGTAAAGAAATAGCAAGAAGTCTTTTTCCAAGAAAAAAAAGACAAGATAGCATCACAGAAGCTATTATATCTGACCGTATAAATAAATTTGCTTCATGCATCAGACATTCTGAACTACATAACAAGATAATCAACATAAAACTTATTTTTCTTTTCAGACTCAGCTTTTTTTTTTGTTTTTTTTTATACTAAGTGCTAGAATGCATCTAGTATACACACTCATTCCATGCTTACTATAAGGAAAGTAAAAATTCTGCTGTTTGATTCATTATGACATGAATAAGCTGCACAACACAGCTATGGTCCAGCATATTCTTAGCAGTTGCATGTGTCCATATGAAGTGGTCTCCACCTGAACAGAGCCACAACACAGTTTAATTTGCTTCAACTTTGCATCCATAGTAGTTAAAACTGCAACTTGAGATGCATATACAATTTATCTCCTGCTATCACACATCTAATTTATCACTGTTTTAAGCATCTGAAAGCTGATTTAAGATTCAAATTAGAAACAATCAATGGATATAAAGTTTGGTGTGATGACATTACAGGTTTTTGAATGTTTTTTAACAGCACAAAACTAGTAATGCAATTATTATTTTCCTAAACAGAAATTACAGTATTGGCCCCTTTATTCCAGGACCTTCAAGTGCAAATTAACAGAATATGACAAAACAAAAATCAAACATTTCCACTGCATGAGAAAGTGAGATTATCAATCCAGCCCAAGTGAGGCAAAAAGTCTACAATCTTCTATTCATTTCAGAATACGTAACTTTTCTTCAAGAAAAATTCAAGTGCATTATTAGAATTGAAACTTCCTTTTCAATTCAGAAAAAGAACACCAAACAAGATGAATAATTTGTTCTACTGCAATCAACATGAAATAACATGTCACCAAGACTTTGATGAAACTGATGTGCCAACAGAAAACTTATTTCCAGCAATATCTTTTTTTAAATAAGGATATTTGCTATCATAAAATATTTCACAAACTCAAACTTTGAGGAGATCCCATACTAAGAACCATCCTGAACATGCCCAGGAATCAAGACACTTGCACGTATTCATCAAGCAATAAAATACTGGATATCAGCTTACAAGCATTACCAAACTGAAACCTTTAGTCAAAATAAATGAGAAAAAGAATTCTGTAGTCCTGCAGTAAAAAGTGAAACTATTGTAGGCAAGCTAGCTTTCTTCAGTCCTCTTATGCATGGTATGGAATCACTACCAAGACACTGAAATACCAAATCCTCAACCAATAAGGACAGAGGTTATTTTTTACAAAAAAAAAGAAAAAAAGGTCCTTAGTATTTGCAGGTATTAATGTAGATCCATCTTCAGTATAGTATCATAAAATTTCTGATTACAAAAAGGAAAATTTTTTTTAAATACCAGCTCCCTGTTTTACTCCAGCAAAGACAAGGACTAAATCCTGCCTTTGAAGAAACCAGCAAGCACCCAATGCAGCCAACCACTCCTTTTCACCCTACAGAAGAACTCAGATAATGATAGAGGGGGGTAGCACTCATCTACTGCCTCTAAGGCAGAACAGGAGAACATGCACATGGCGTGATTACTGCCCTGAGCACTGCTGCACTACGCAATCCTGGGCTATGGTCAGTAGACACTGCCCACACAACTGGAGAACCTTAGGTGTCGTCTTAATGCCTCATGCTCTGCTTTAACCACAGCTTGAACACAGGAAAGACTTTGCCACTTTCTTTAGAAGTCACCTTCAGAATAACTATAGGAAGAGGCATTAGTTGTTATTGCATATAATATGAAATCTTTTTGATGCATCATTAAGCAAAACATGCAGCGGATTGGAACTCATGATATTTACTCAATTGTAATGGCTTTATAAGGGCTATTTTCAGAGGGGTAAATGATAAATCCCAGCTTCTAGTTTTTCAAAGTTTAAGAAAAGGACTGAAAGACTTATTAAGGGCTACACTGCGTCCAAATGCAAACCTCTGAAAGACTGATGAAATGTAAGTATTTATGTTTGGTTTTCAAGAAAGCGGAAAGCCTACTTTATACAGTCATACTGTATATATCCATACAATTGTATGCTCCACTAAAATAGAAAAAAATGATTTTAAGTACTTCAATAGCAAACGCAACCTGCAGTACAAGCAGCATTGTGCAGGCATTCCTAAACCAAATAAATTCCCAACTGTTACCTTCAAAAAAACTCTTGGCTCGCAAGTAACTGACGCTGAGCCTAAGCACAGACAACTTATCCAATTTGGCGATAACATCTTGAGGGAAAGGCAGAAGGCTTGCCAAGCGATCCAACTCCGCATTCAAACGGTCCCTGTGCCTCTTGGAGGGATTGGATTTGACTCCTTCGGCTGGAGATGGCTTTACTCTGTGGCAAAAAAAAAAAAAAATAAAAAAATAAACAAAAGTTCTTTCCCAAAATGAAGGCAAATATTTGTCTAACATTACAACCTTTTAAACTTTAACATGCAAAATGTTTTTCCTAAGCGACTTCTGTTCCTCATGGAAAAAAGTAGAATTCTATCTAAGATCATTTCACTTTCCTCCCCAACACATTCACTGTTAAAGAAAGCAGTAAGACCTGCCATAGCTATCTGAACACGTAATGGACGTTTGCAAACTCAGATATAGCACTTGTAAAAACCTTCCTACACGCACATTCAAATGCCTTGATTTCTTTCAAATTATGAATAATTCAACTTATTAGTGTACAAATTATTTGACAGTACACTCAGTTTGTTGTTGTTTTGTTTTTTTGTTTTTGTTTTGTTTTGTTTTTTACTTGAATTACATTTTTTCACAAATATCTTTACTTCTTCATCAAGGTTTGGAACAGGTTATTGTAAATTAGAAATAATAAATGGTTAAGTAACTTGCTAGACAACAAGGCACTCAGAACTGCACAAGAAAAGATACAGCTCAGTCAGCATGTAAAATCTTCCTTGCTAATACCACTGAACTCATTCTATATACCAACTCTTAGCTAATGATGTTTCACTTGAGTATGATATGACAAAGGTGGCTCTGCAAGGTGCATCATTTCTCAAGTATTATCCAGGCAAGACACTCACTTGTATATGATTAACACAATTTAAATATAACTCTAACAAAATAAATAAAGCTCAAGATCACCAAATGTCATCAGTAACATTTAAATTTGCCTCAAATACTTGTGTATAGAACAGCCTTCAATGAAGGCAAAAAAAACCCCAATAGATTTCAAACTTTAAGCAAGTAAAAGCTGTATACCTGTCACTGAACAGCTTACTATTACCAAATCAAAGCATGTTCCAAAAAGCAGAGGTCCCCTTGAAAACAGCTCGTGACACGCCAATTAGAGCAGCATTGAATACCAGACTTCTCTATTTTCACAACTGCCCTCCCCTTTGCTTAAAATTTCTATTAGCAATTTGACAAGTTATGTTGAAACAATACGGAACTGGGCAATTACCTTGACAAATTACTCATTAGATGTGATTGTTTTTGCATTACTTTCATGTAAGTTTTTACTTCCAAGTAGCCAATGCATAAGGATTCCCCAAATGCAGCATAGAACATTACTAAACATTAAGTTGGCGGTATTTTCAGCATACCATGATTTTATCTAATTTTATCTACTATGACCCAACAAAAATCAGTGATTTAAATGGAACTGTCAGGGACAAAAGAAATAAGGATGGAAATGAAGGGGAAATAAGTAGTAACTTGAACCATTTTCCATTCTCTTACATAAACTGTTGATGCTCAGGGCTGCCCTAGCTGCGTTGCAGAAAATTACCTTCAAGTACAATTAAATGCTATGTCAAGATTATTTTTATTATTAAAAAAGGGAAAAAGGAAAAACAAAAAAAAAAACACCAACAAAGAAAAACACTACAGAAGAAAACAGGTTTTAAGCTGACCTCCTGGGCACCACCTTTTACCTTACTTACAGGAAATTCAAACTCTCTAATCAATCAAAAGCCAGAGATTGCCACACACTCAGTATCTCTCAAGTAAAGTACAGTCCTTATCATCCAACAGCTGCAAAACAAGCAAGGACTGCTAATTCTAGTTTTACCATTGTAAAAGAGGTACTACCACAACATTAACTGACTACTGTTTTCAGAAGCCTGCTACAGACAACAGAAATTTCAGTTGCACATGCTTGCCATGCATGCCTTCATTGATATTAATAACACTACAAGTGCATGAGTATCTGGATCTTATTATTAAAAGGCCAAAATAAGTTTCAGTATTTATAGGCTAATTTGTATTTTAAAGGAAAATTGAAGCAGTTCCTTGAGAAAATTAAATACAGCGCAGATATGTTTTGTTCATAACATACAAGAAAACCTTTAGGAGTTCATCAGAATGACTTTACTGATTAGAAAAAAAAAAAAAGGACACAAGGAAGAACACGCGTGTCACCTCTCTGACAGATTTAATCTTTTCAGCTGTGTGTACTTTTCATTTCATCTTCAATACAGCATGTGTTAACATGTTATTCTTATGTCAATTCAATTAAACATAGGTCAGGTATATGAAACTCATCAGTTACTACTGAACAAGTGCTATATAGGTGACACCCTCCAAAATTCTCTATTTTAACAACTGAAAAAGACTCCTATGAATAGTCTTATCTGCCACAGTGAATTCACCATTTAGGAACATTCAGCTGCTGATTCCTTTGGAAGAAACAGATACAATGCAGACTAACAATCTCTCTGCTCAAAAGCTTTTGTCAACCTATCTTGAAGGGCAAGAGGCACTCTCCAGTGGTTCCTTCAGCAGACAATGAAACCAACAAAGTTTTAGGCAGCAAAGGGATAAAGATGTTCTCACTAAAAATCTCATGTGCTGCTCATCTGATGCTGTGCAACCGTTTGTCCTCCAGAAGCAGTCTGTCACTCAGTTGCTCAGGTTGGCTTAGTGTCCAAGTGACTATGACAGAGCGATGGGGACAGCCAGAACACGAGGCAGGAGCAAAATCTCTACACTCAGTTTTAACACCCTTCAATGCTATCTAAGACCACAAGCCAGACTATCCAGAAAAAGAAAAAAGCATGTTCCTAGCTGCCAACCATAGCATCTACATTTAATTATCTTCAGTTGCTGCAGCTATTCCTTGCAAACTGAATACTTTTGCAAGAAGTACTACCAAAAAAAAACCTTAAAAAAAAAAACAACAACAAAAACACAGGAAAAAAAAGCCATCAACCACACAAAATGAAACATTAAATGCAATAAATCTTAAGTAGCAGTTTACAGTTTACATGTAGCATACAGGTACACCAACAAGTGTACCAGTTATCACCTAATCTAATAAGTTTATTCTAACTATGCCAAAAGTCTTGTAGTGCTTCCATTTCACACACAAGGTGCAAGCTGCTCTATGTGTGAAGAGCACTTTAAACAAAGCAAGCTTTTAATGTTTTGTTTTTTTTTTCTTTATTGATGAACTTCCACTTCTTGGCACTTATTTGTTTGTCTTGAAATAATAAATAGTTGTGAGGTTTATTGTTGCTGCTGCTGTTTTGTTTTGTTTTGTTTTTTTATTTTATTTTATCATTATTATTTTTTTTTAAGTTAAACATATATTTGCACTGCTTTCTGAAATCACTATGCCTTAATATGTACCTTTAATTAAGGATCAACCAGCCAAACGTTTTTCTCTGGAATATTTAGTATCATGAATACATTCATAGTAACATGGAACAAAAGTGTATCATTTCTTATTTAGTCTGCTTTTTCAAGAAACATGCTGTTACGCTTTGTGTGTCTGCACAGTATGAAACATTTAAATCCCTCCAACCCATTCCTTGTCTATTACATTCATTCCGTTATGCAAAACAATTTCTACCCAAACACTGAAAAAGAGAACAACAAAGCAAATCACAGCAGGACTGAGCTAGCAGGCAGAAAAGCGTAGGAATCTAAAGACAGCAAGGTGAAACAACACTTTTATAAAATCCTTTACTTAATGTTACGATCCACCTCCAGTAAACTTCACTTCAATAAAACAATGCATTTTATCTTACTAGCATGCAAAATCAGCAGTTCAGTTAATAATCAGTAGAGAAAAGGCATACAAGACCTTAAAAACAAAACAGAAATAGAACAGTCGAAGAAAAATTCAAAGCAGGGGCCATGCAGAGCGGCCACCAGGGGGACCCGCACAGCTCCACCACCCGTGGGAAGAAATCTGCGGAAGGCTCCGAGGTTCTAAGAAAGCTACATTTCACTGGAATGCACATTGTGTATTAGGCTGTTGTTTTATTTCCCCTCCAGATGACAAGATAACAAGATGAAATGCAGGAACAGTTGCCGCTTAAGTTTTCCCATTATTGCGTTTTCTTTTCAGCTGTGATATGGTGACTCCCTACCGGATCAAAACAACACATTTCTGTCAGGCGATTCCCTGTTGAGTCCAGTCCTTTACACAGCCCATAAAGATAGGGTGGCTGCAGGGGGAAGCTTCCTATATTGCCTCTGTTACTGCCATGACTTAAAGTTATTTGCACCTGAAGCAGGAAGTAGTTCTTCATTTGTTTTAACCCATGAGCACTGCTGCATGCTAGCTGCCCACTGCTACAGACTAACAACGACCAGGCTCCCTTCACAGCTACATCTATGACAAATGAAACATCAAAAAGAAGCAACAGCTTCACAAAAGGCGCTACTCCCAGCAATGCATCACTTCCTTCATTTTAAAATTCTCTTTGAAGAGCTCTGAATTCTACTTGGAGGACAAAATACCAACTTCAAACGGACTCAAATCACAGCAGTGCCAAACCGTGGGGCAAGGAGCAGTGCTGGAACCGCTCTCCCCTCCTTCCCCCCAGTCACTTACAGGAGCTTATGACCTCTCTCCCTACTTTTTAGCCCCGTGAATGCTCTGTAATTAGCTATGTGAGAAATCAGAGCCTTCCCACCACCCGCAATGCTCTACGAGGTTGGTCTAACAGCATGAGCAACCTAGTCATAACCACTAGGAGAAGAAAAAGCAATACGTGCAAGATAAATTCTGAATAATTTCTGGTAACTCCAACAAGACTGGCTAATAGTAATGTCTTCTCTTATAATTATAGGTGAGCAAGGAAATGCAGAGGAGGAGACATCTATCTGTCCCTTTGGTATCAAAGGGCAGAATCCCAAATAGATATAGTTTCCATTAGCAACAAAAATAGGCTCCAAGTTCAACTAATATGACAAGCATGGCCACCAAATATAAGAAAATAGATTACGGAAAGAGATTAGTAATGTAGATACAACAGTAACACAAAAAGGAAAGTTTCACATCCTCTAATCAAGACCAAGAATGTAATAGCCAGCCAGACATTAAGCGATGTGACCAAAAAGGCAGAACAGCTCACCCTTATGCAATTACAAGAATTACTTGCCCTCAGCAACCAACAGTTGACAAATACTACCAATGCATTTCTACTTCACAAAAAGACAACACTAATTTCTTCGTTAAAATCCAGACCTGTAGAGAAGACTGATTCACTGCTTCTACATTATAGATTGGAAATGAGTAATCGAAAAAAGCAAACACTGCTCTTCTCATAATGACTCTATCTTCTAGACAGAACTTTTTTTTAAAAAGGGTATGTTTAGAATTTTGCATTAATTTGTAGACTGGCTGTGTGCATGCACTCATTCTCATAGCTCCAGCTGTACAGAAGTGAGCACAGAGGCTGACTTCACTCCCCCCAGCACAGTTGTCTGCTGTCAATCTGAGAACATACACTTACATTGGGATTTTATTAAATATTTGTCATTCTCTTTAATGCTTTTGGAGTTCAGGTAATTATGGTACTATTACAAGAGTACTCGGTAATACACTGGGATTTTTTGAGCTTTGCATCACAGCTAGTTTTGCTAGCAGCTCCGAAGTTCAGCTCCTCTACTGCTTGCAACTTACACTGACTTCTAGTCGAAAGTGCGGGTTAAGCCGCAGTCCTGAAAATCACTCGCAGGAGATGACCAGCCCGCAAAGCCCAGGGCTCAAACCTACCGCAGGTGCAAAACGCGAAAGCACTCAGGCACTAAGCTGCAGCCCAAGTTTCAAAATACCACGACAGACACTTGGTTTTTGGCCTCTTGGAGCGATCCGCAGCACCCGCAGTGGAACAACCGCCACCACCTGATGTAGCAGTGGGGGCTGCAGCCGGCCCAGCGGACCGAGGACAGCACCGGGCTGAGGACCGGACCGATCCCCCCCACCCCCAACCTAAACGGGGCCGCGCCGCCTGCGCCGGGAGCTGTCACCTCAGGTGCCTCCCGATCTAGGTCAGCCGCCTCGAGCCGCCGCTCCCTGCTCCCACCTCCGCGCTCCGCCCGCCAGCCGCGAGGGGACCTCGATTTAGCTTTATTTTTACAAGAAATCCAAGAAAAATAAAATAAATCCTGTGGAACCCCCGGGGCGCCGGAGAAAGGAGGGCCCGCAGCCCACCCCGCACCGCCGTGCCCCGCAGCCGGGAGCCGCACAGGCACTCCGCGGCCGAGCCGGCGCCGGGAAGGGCGGGGGGAACCCGCGCCGGGGCAGTCCCACGCCGCGGTGCCCGGGCGGGACGGACGGAGCAAGGAAGCCACCCCCATCCCCGTCTCGGTCTTTCTCCCTCCCTGCCGAGAGCCGCTTACATTTTCTGCACAGGTTTCCGCCGCTTGCGACTGGCGTAGGTGACATTGGGGTTCATCCTGCCGCGGCTCCAGCGCCCCGCACCGCCGCCGGCCGGGGGCCGCCTCGCCGCCCGCCTCGCCCCGGCTGCCGGGAGAAGGCGAGTCCCAGCGGCGCCGCAGCTCCTGCCTCGCCCGCGGGCCCCGGCCCTGCCGCCCGCCCGCCCGCCCGCCCGCAGCAGTAAGCTCGCAGCGGCGGCGCCTCCCCTGGCCCGGCGAGGACGGAGGGAGGCGGAGGTGGCGCGGGGCGGGGATCCCAGGTGATCGGCGGCGGCGACACCCACTCGCCGCGCGGCACCTCCGCACGGCACAGGTGTGAGGGCGGCCGGCTCTTTGCGGCGCCGCTCAGCCCCGCGTCTCCCCTCCGATCCGACGCAGACTCCCGGCCGACCGCGCCGTCTCCTCGCCCGTCTGCTAGCCGAGCGCCCGTCAGTGTGCGCGGCGCCCGGCCGGGCCGGGCCTCCCCTCCCCGCCTAGCTCAACCCAGCCCCGCTCCTCCCGCGGCCGCCGCCGCGCTGCCGGGCTGGGCCCGCCCCGCAGCCTGACAGTGCCGCCGCCCCGCGCCGAGGAGGCCCCTTGCGGCGGCCGCGCGGAGGGAGGAGGGGGCGGCCGCGCCGCCATGTTGGGAAGGTCAGGCGAGGGGACGGCGGCGGAGCGCCGCAGGCAGCGTGGGTTTGAGCCGGGCCGGATAGCGCTGCGGCGTGGAGGGAACACGAGGCACTCCGCCTTCTGCCGTCCTGAGGCTGAAAAGACGCAAAGCGGGCCGCCTCCTGAAGTGGGCTGGGAGCCGACCCCGGGCAGCGGCCGGCTGGGGGAAGAGGTGGGAACGCGGCTGCACCGAGCGCAGGGACCGCGGGGCGCTCCGCGCAATGCTGCGGCTCCCTCAGCTCTAAGGGAGCGGAAGGGTCGCTGGCCCGGGATGCCGTCAGTGCCTCGTGAGGGGATAAGGCCGCGAGTTATGGCGCTGACGCGTGAAACTAAACGGTGATGTTGAAGAAAAGGAGCAACATCGCAAAAATCACAAGGCGCTGCCACGCTGTCGACAAACAGAACCGCTGAAGGAGCCCCTTCAATGCCTCTGTGACCCGCCGCTGCTTCGCCCTCCTGTTTTCTTCCTCCGTTTCCTCTCACAAGAGCGGAGCTCTTCCCCCGGAATAACGGCAATAAATTTTGCCTCCGCGCTCAGCCTGGGAGACGGGGAGTCGCCCTGTAAACATGGCCGTGCGCGGCGGTGCCTGCGGGAGAGCCTGGCTGAGAGCATCCCGGAGCTGGAAGCGCTCTCCCCGGCTCCCCGAAGCCCGCAGCATCGGCCCACGTGCCGCCTGGCAACCGGGCTGCGAGCTTTAGCCTTCCCTCGCTCTCCCTGCCTGGCTGCGAGGAGGCTGAGGCAGTGTCCTTGGTGCTGGCTTGCTCCTGCCTGCCGACGCTGGCCGGGCTGCGGGAGTTCAAGCGGCAGCTACGAGCACTCGCGCGTTCCCTCGCTGGCTGTTGAAACCAGCGCTGTGGTTATGCAAGCTTTCCGGCTCCGCTTTGCTGATGGAGTTTGTCAGCTGTGGCGCAGGTATTGCCATACGGCAGCCGGTAAGAAACAGCGCCGGGATTGTGCAAGGCCTGGCTGCCCGGCTCCAACATCCCATGCGTCCCGCAGTGGCGTGGGCCTCGTCCTCAGAAGTGCACAGCGTGAATTAGACAGCATAACGCACGCTTGTTTACCAGCTTAATTGCTCGAGTTTAATTGCCTGGGAAGCTATCCCAGATGCAGAGTGTGCTGAAGCCAGAGTATTCAGATAAAATTAATTTAAATAAATCTTAAAAATGCTAGCGTGCTTGCTGGAAAGCAAGGAGTTGATCAAATGATGTTTTGAAAAACAGATCTTCAGCAAATAAAATATGCGAAAATCCGTGGAGGAAAAAAGTACTGAAAGAACGGTATGCCTTAAAAGTTGCAGTCACATTCCTGCCACATTCCAGGCCAAGCACCTTTGCAGAGGATGTCAGCTCCTCACTGCTATCCCTTTCCTCATCATGGTCTCTCCTCACCAGACCTTGCAAGCACACTGGGAAAACAAAGGGCAATTACATGCCACATCCTCCTGTCTTCTCTTCTCCATCTCCTTTCTTCTGATTTTAGAACTGGAATAAAAAATTAATGCCTTCTCCAAAGGCATCAATTTTACTCTCCAAACCAAAAAATACTCTCCAAACCAATCCAAACCAATCCAAACTCCCAGTTTCTTCCAACTTAAACTGCCCAGTCCCTTTCACTACTCGTCTCACCCCTAACCTCTTTCTGCTCACTGGCTCATTCCTCTGTCAGCATAAGTGTGCTGTGATCACGCACAACACAAATTGCTGCTCTGCTTTCATTCTTCTCTTCATTTACATTACCTTTGCGTTGAAAGCTTTCAGCCATTGTTTAAAGCTCTTCTTCCAATTTTTGATTGTTTCCAGTCTGTCTTTTATTTCTTCACTACGACTGCACAAAATCCCCAGCAACTTGTTATACTTCACTGAACTTCAAGATCTTAGCTGTTTCTTGACATTTTGTGCTGCTTAAATACTGTCAGACACCCAAACATCACTTCATAGGATGGTTGAGCTTGGCAAGGACCTCTGGAGATCACTTTGTCCCAGCCCCCCGTTCCTTCAGGGCCACTCAGAGCAGGCTGCCCAGCCTCACATTTAAGTGGCTTTTGGAGATCCCCACAGAGACTACACAGCCTTGCTGGGCAGCTTGTGCAGTATGTAAGTTGTCTAGGAGGTTGTACAGGAGGTTTCACGAAGAAGGAGATTGATTTTAGCTTCCCACAATAAACATCATCTCCCCACTCTGTTCTGAGGCCATGGAAACCTGCATGGTGCCAGCAGAGTTCTCTGGTTGCTCTTCAGCTCAAGGATTTCGAAACAAACAAAAACTGTCACTACTAGGCAGAAATCTTCTGTACACCTGTACAGTGTAATCCTTTTCACTGCAGGCTATTGGAAATCAACCCATATGGGTCAAACACCTTTTTAACAACAGATAGGAGATGTAAGATGTTCAGAAATTACCTAAAGAACCTTCACACCATGTTAGCTACAGCTTTTACAAATCCACCTTCTCCTGGTGTTCTTGCTATTTCTTGTATTAATCCACCACTTTGGTAATTTCTTTTCCACTTATCTGGGTACAGTAGAGATCTTGCAAAAACTCTATAACCATGATTCAGCGGTCTTACAGCCTTCTTTGCAGCACAATGTGGTTTTGTCTGTGTGTTTCTATTCCTATTCTTTGTGTGTGTGTGTGTGTTTGTTAATATTTGGGCAGGTTTAACAACATTTGGTCTTACAAATAATGGATGTGGCTGATCTCCTATGAATAGTTAAAAGGGTTTAATTCCTACACAGATCATTTTTATGTATATTGTCCAACCCTAACCAATCTCTTCTTATTTTATCTCTAGCCTACTCCCCAGGTGGATTATTAGGTGTAAGCTAAAGATCACACTGTCTCTTAACAACTTCTCTAGAACCATCAACAATCACTTTTTTCCTCATTGCTCAAATCCAGCATTTCTGTTTTCAGTCATGAATTGTGAGTCTATCCGACAGTGAGATTTCTAAGAGAAGTGTCTGTGTCTCCTGTGAATCGTGCCTTTCCCCAGCACATGTGAGGTGCTACATTAACTAGCAGGCTCCTCCCTATCTAGCACACTGTGTTACTATGATCCCCTGAAGCTTCCAGAGCTCTTGCTTGTCAGCAGTCACATCTGCTGCCCTGTCTCCAAAATGAACAATTAACTTCTGTTCCAAACGTCATTTAGGCTCCGTTTCTGCTTCTCCTGCCATGCACAGACTTCTCTCTCATTTCAAGAGGTGGGCAGCTGCTTGGAAAGGGAACTTGTATTAAACAGACAAATTCCTGAGTGAGCTGAAGTTTCACAGGAACACCACAAGACCAAGAAAAATCTTGCTATTTGTGAGGAATTTATAAGAATTATAAACAGTGCTTGATATCTCAGGGTCATCTCTGACTCATTTCTATCCTTTATCCTACTCTTTCTATTCATGGCCAAATCTTTACTTCCCTCAGATTAATTCTGTGTGCTGACTTTTTCTGGCTGTCTTCAGTGCAAATAACACAGAAGAAATATGCTTTGATTATTTGTGATTCCTTTTCTGCATTCTTGGAGACAAGATAACTGTGATTTAAAATTATAATTTTTGCAGTTCAAATTTTGGGGATAATTTTGGGGATATGTACAACTGCCTCTGGTTTAGGCGTTATTTTCCACTGTAACTTTGTTCTGCTAAGAAAGAGAGCTTGTGGTAACTTGGATGACTTTCTCTGTACTCAATTCAGGGAACTAATCATCAAGGGAAACTGACTTAATGTCAGTGAGTGGACTTTAGAAATTCCCTGACCTAGCAGCCTTCTGTGGTGGCATAACTGCATCAGTAGATGAGGGGAAAGCCACTGATCTATCTGGACTTCACTAAGGCCTTTAACACAGTACCCCACAACATCCTTTTCTCCAAATTGGAAAGATATGGATTTGATGTGTGGATTGTTAGATGAACAACAAAGTAGCTGCAAAATCATGCCCAGAATGGTGGTCAATGGCTCAATGTCCAGATGGAGGTCGGTGATGAGTGGTGTCCCTCAGGGGTCAGTGCTGGAACTGATGCTCCACAGCGGGATCAAGTGCACCCTCAGCAAGTTTGCAGAAGACACCAAGCTGGGTGGTGCAGTCGACATGACCAAGGGACAGGATGCTGTCCAGGGGGACCTAGACAGGTTTGAGCAGTTGGCTCAGGAGAACCTCATGAGGTTCAACAATCCAAGTGCAAGGTCTTGTACCTGGATTGAGGTAACTCCCACAACCAATACAAGCTGTGGGATGAAAGGATAGAGCACAGTCCTGCTGAAAAGGACTTGGGAGTACTGGTGGGTGGCATCTAGACATAAGCCAGCAATGTTCCGGCCCGGAGAGCTGACTGTATCCTGGACTGCATCAAAAGAAGCATGGCCAGCAGACCAAGGGAAAGGATCCTGTCCCTCTGCTCTGCACT